ATATTTTTACTTTCATGACAAATCTTATGCACTTCGCTCTAAGCTCGGTGATCCAACACTATGTCTTTACTTAAGGCTTATTATACCAACACTCACTACACTTATAAGGTTTTACAGCACACACACACACCCTTCACGGCCCCCTTGCACCTCCGTCACTAAAATCGTAATGGGCAGAGAGTAATTGAACTATTCTATCTGGATAAATGCATTTTGGCTTTTATGACTCTCCAATTTCGAGAAATCAAGAGTGACGTGATGTGACAACACACTGACTTTTATATAGGTTAGATTATACACAATTAAATTTCGTATAAAATGTAAATCAAGTGTGCGATAGAGACTAGATGTAATACTTAATGAAGCCAATAAAAACAGCACCTTCGGTTGCAAAATACTGCTTATAATATAAGCATGTAATACTAGGGACCTCACTAATATGATGAATATCATTATGGCATTAAAAACAATTAAATTAAATACTTTGTTTGCGTGGTATGGAATCTAAATTGAACTTATCAAAGAAACTAAGTTATGAAATAGATCTATACACATTATCATCGAAACTTATTTAATAAATTACATCCGGAAATCATAATGAAATTTGGATCATTTAAGCAGAATCAGTAATTATAGATGTACGTAACACTGAAATTTAAAACTATAATTATTTATTCTGCTAAAATAATTCTTAAAAGGTCCATAAAATATGATTGTGCATTCCGGATGCAAATTGAGATGAAGAACTCGATATATTATTAATATTTTTATCTATTTATGGCATTAAACTAACAATATTTTAAACGTTAATTGCTAATGTATTTGTAATATCACTATACGCGTATTTAAATACGATAACAATTAAATCTTCCTAATTAACTGGGAATTAACAAATCTTCTTTACGTATTGGCTTGTAATAACCTGGGGTTGGGGGGAGGGGTCCTAGTGGTCACTAGACATATCGTGTATACACAGTCTTTGGTTTGAAAACTGTCATTATTTTACAAGATATCTTTCAACTAGATCCCTGTGAGTGTGTTACAATTAGTTATATCATCATTATTTTGTATTTTTACCAATTTGAAGGCTTTAGTTTAACTTTTGAATAAAGTCCTCCGATTAGTCTTAAATGTTGTTTCAAAAGTATTTTTAGGCAATGTGGACGTAGCTGAGTTTTGGTTATAATGAACTGCTCCTGCCGTTTTCTAGAGTGCGACGAGGTTTTGGCTTTTATAATTAGGCCTTTTTCTACCTGTAGGGGTCACTATTAGTTTTAAATATGTTTTTAATGATTAAGATCTAGAACATGAATAGAGCACTTCAAAATGATTATATCGTTACTTTGATAGAATAACTCAGTGACCTACTTACTGATCAAAGGACCACTCCATACTCCCTTGAATGTAGTTTTTAGATATGTTTAGGACCCATTGTTAAAAAATAAAATTATAACAAACACCTATTTCCCGCTTCACCACCTATTGTTAATTGAAGAAGATCCCGGTTCAATTGTTGTAAATCTGATCATTTCTCGAAAATTACAACTAATCTAAATTCTAGTATTAACCGTTTTTACGCTAAGCAGAATTAATTAATTAATTAATTGGTATGATAAACATCTTGCATATCCCAACTCTTTCGAATTGCCCATGTTCAAGGAAAACATGTATTACCTGCTTCCACATGTATATACATGTAAAACATGTATTACCGGCATCACAGATGTACAATTTACCGTTCTAGAACTGCCAAGATACACACATTCATAAAGCTCTCGAAAGGTTGACCTTTCTTCTTCAGGGGCAAAC